TTGCAGATTCAGTCTTCCCAGCCTGGTGCAGGTCTACAATTCGGTTTCTGGTGTCCTCCGACAGCTCTTTTGTCTTCACCATTGTGGAGTTTGGAGTGTGACTGTTTGAGGTTGTGGGCAGGTGTCTTTTATACTGTTAACGACTTCAAACAGGTGCCATTAATACAGGTAATGAGTGGGGGAAAGAGGAGCCTCTTAAAAAAGAAGTTACAGGTCTGTGACAGCCAGAAATCTTGCTTGTTTGTAGGTGACCAAATACTTATTTTCCACCAATATTTGCAAAAAATTCTTTAAAAGTCAGACAAAATGATTTTCTCAAAATTTTTTTCACATTTTGTCTCTCATAGTTGAGGTCTACCTATGATGTCAATTACAGGCCTCTCTCATCTTTTTAAGTGGGAGAACTTGCACAATTGGTGACTGACTAAATACTTATTTTCCCCACTGTACAATGTTGGCTGGTGTGCGTTGGGTCCTTTGTAGGCCGGACCTCCCCTTGTTGAGATTGTGGCTGGTCCCAGAAGCACGGTACTTATTAACGTTGTGGAAGACAGTGAGACGGCTCGGAACAATTGTTGCAATTGTCTGCATAAGATAAGGTGATGTTTATGATCATGTTGTTTTAATGAAAGAAAATGACCACACAATCACATGATCGTGTACCAGCTTATGGAATAATTATATGTAATACCCACTGAATACGTGTACATGTACAGTATATTACATGTAATGCTAGTTGGCTAGATTGACTTGTCCATGGCCACTTCACATGTGTTTGTTAACTTTGTTATGATCCTCTCAAAAATGAGATATTTTTCTTTCGACGTTAGGACAAGAAAGGATTGATTATTTTAAAAACACCTTGGCATGCGTGTAAAACACCATCTAAACTTTTAATTTTATGTGACAGATCGTATTTTAACCCTCACATTTCCTTGCGCAAAGGACATGAATTTTGTGAATTTCCACTTGTCCCTGCTCACTGGAGCGTGACCCGTTAAGATTTTACACCCACATTTTCAAAATTATAATCTGTTAATTTTATGGCAATTTTTCTGACAGTATCATTTTTTCTGATACACCCTGTATAGTAAGGCTCAAATAATAAATGTGTAGTTTAACTATTTTTTAAATTCAGTTACATAAAAATTATATTTTGCTAATAACTTGTATTACAATAAATACACAATACAGCTGGAAGCCAATTTTAAGAGTGTGCCGATAAGTGTTTTTAGATCTCTTTTATTTGTCATTTCCATTTTTTCTCTTTTTAAAACTGTACGTACAAAACAGTACGTATTTTTCCAAGTACTTGTTAGAGTTAAAATAAGCTTTAAAAACTCTAATATTTGTTCATTTTTTACAGCTGTTGCAATATAACTGTCAGTCTAACATCTTAGGATTAATCTGAAAAAGTGACACTTGCATTCAGCGACATCTACACTGTCTTTGAAAACTGTGGATTGTGTGTAGGATTTTTATTATGTGTGTTTTGTGTGTGCACAAGAGTGTGTGTAAAGGATTTGCTGCTCATGCTGTTCTCACACCACACGCCACACAGGGGGTCCCTGAGCTCTCAAACACGGCAATGTTTACTTAAATTACTGTACGCACACTGACAGACAGACAAAAAGACACAAACACACACACAGGCAAAGACACACACAATCTATTAAAGTGCTGTAAAAAAGCAGTAAAGGAGAAATCTGCATGATGAACAAGGGAAGATGATCATGACTTTAAGGTCTGATGGGATGAGAGGCAGAAACACCTCTGTGGAGTGGACGGCACTTTATCAGTCATGTCTTATTTCCTTTCATAGAGAAGAGAAGGAAGACAAGATGAGGTGTGAGGAGTGTTTTTCTCTTTTTTTATACAAGAGCTTCTTTATTTTTTTTTCAAGGTCCAGATTTGATACCTAAAAAAGATCAAAGGTCCACACGTGAAAAAATGAAGTGTTGAATTCACTTAAACAAGTTATGTCAACTAGTTCCACTAAAAAGAGTTGAGTAAATGTAAAACAATTTACAACCTGGGTAACAGTTCACATAACTTAAGTAAATTCAACACTTTATTTCTTAGAGGGCAGAACAACAAGCTATAAGCTTTTTTTAAATTAAATTTCAAAATTGAGCTTATCAATAAGACCCCAAAATCTTCAATGATTAGAAAAGATATAATATATATACTAGGGGTGCAACAATACATGTACCCGTACTGTTCAATACAGTGCTTTAGGTTCAATACACACTTGTATCAAACAATACTGATGTTTAAAAATTATTTTATCAATTTGTCTTCGAAAGTTGCTCTGGGTTTAAGGATCAGTGGATCTGTGTTCGACTACTCTACCTAGGCTGCACTGTCGGGCGCAGATCCACTGAGAAACTTGCTGTTTGAGCATCATTTAATTTAAAAACTGTACTTTTGAGGTTTAACAAATGTTCATAATTAATGTAAATAAATCATAAGTTAAAAAGTGAATGGAAATTTCTCTTTTTTGTATCGAAAAAATATCAAACCGTGAGACCGGTCAGACCGATCAGACGTATTGAACCGAACCGAATCGTGAATTTTCTGTATCGTTGCACCCCTAATATATATTAGATTCAATAATTTAAAAATCATATAATTCCATAAGGAAATATTGATCATTTTAAACATTTTGACATGCTTTAAAATCATTTACTTTCATAACCAGATTACTTTCTCAGGAGCTTGTAAAATAAATAAATAAATAAATAACTTGGTAGCAATGATAATGAAAAATACCTAAACTGAGAGAGCAGCAGGCCTCCCAAAGAAGAACCACAGATAGAGAAGCCCATGGCAACAACACCGTTCCAGAAGCTGAGCTCCCTGGCTGTCATGTGGTGATCCAGGAGGAACAGAGGAAACATGGTTACTGCGCCCTGCTCTCCTGCACGCAGAGTGGGAAAAGACAGAGAAAAGAGGCACAAAAAGACAAGTTGAACATGGGAGAGAAGTAAAAACATGATGATCATTTACAAAACCGATGAGTTGTAGAGCCATGTATGATGGAGATAAAATGAAGTCTGAAGTATGATCACGACACTCTAATGTATGTACGACACGTTTCTGACTAAGCAATGCCATTCTTCATCGACAAAAAACATGTCACAGTCGAATACAATGAGGCTGTTGCATCAAACCGTTTAATCCGCCAGCCTGAACAACGTGGTTTTCTTGAGATGACGACTGCAGGATTAAATGAAGCACGCAGACGTACCTAGGCCTATTCCTGGAAAGTGTCAATAATATATGCCTAACAAGAAAAAGAATACCCTCAGTCACTTTATCAAACAGGGGCCTAGCACTTTTCCTAAAGCACAAAAAAAGGAAAACACAACAAAAACACTAAAACTTGCAGAGATAAAACAGACCTCACAAAGACCTTTCAGTCAAAATAAAAAGTTTCTGTCAGACGGTGAGACTTTCTCTGTGTGGCATTGAGTGTGGGGGTAATGTTCTGCGGAACATTACAGTAAAATATTCAGTGGTGCCGACTACATAGCATTATTATATTAATGGAGACTGACTTCAGAAAGACAGTGGGACCAAGGAGCTGCATGAGTGACAGCTCGGCTCCCAGACTGCTGTCAAAGACGACGCAACACAACCGACGACTCACTCACTCAGTCAGCCAGGAGACAAACAAAAATAGAGAAAGAGAGAGGGGAAAAAAGACAGATGAAAAAGACTCCCAGTGATAGTGAGTGCAGCAGCAGAATTAGAGTGTCACCGCTGTAACAGTGGTGTGACAACCTTCCAGAAACCTGAGGAGGAAATGTGGATTCTCTGTGTAGCGAAACGCTTGTCTGTCATTCATGTGTTACTGCAGGCACATTACACATGCTCAACATACAACTGGGACTGACTGTGTCATAAAGACTGTCATGAATGTTAATTTAGCCAATCAAATAGGACATTTGCCATATGACAAAAAAAGAAAGAAAAAAATACTTTTTGTTAGATAAAGGAAGAGGCAAGCAAGAGAAAGAAGAGCTGCCATCCCTGCAAGTCTACACAAATCTTTCTCATCACGAAGCAGCCTGCAGTTGAAACTACAGCTGAGGAAAAAAACAAAAATCATTTGATAAACAAGTGACTTTGTTACTGATGCAGGTTTATGTGGCAGATTTAACTTGAAGCAGCAACAAAAATAAGTTAAACTAAATCAGATGTCTGTGAGCGCAGTCCAGCATAAAGCACGATTAAGAAAAAATGTGGCATGCATTATAAAAAAGGACATCACACACACACACACACACACACACACACACACACACACACACAC